ATGTCGGTTCCACTCCGTAGTATTTATATCATATTATCCCATAGCATTAACCACGCATCGCAGACAAACTTGAGTCCCAGTGTGAACATGTGCTTCGTCGCACAATCACGGCGAACACTGGAGTTATGTAAGGGAAGTTCAGGGGAGCAGTTTCGCTTTCGAGTGCCAGCGCAGCTCCAGCGATTATGTCAGCTCATCGTAACGCCATCATACAATAGCCGGTACTGGAGATGGAGTGTCGCCTTTTTGGCTTTACGTATAATGAGCCATTTAAGTGAAATAACTATTCATCTCTCCGATTCGAAATCATACGTTAGCATTACCGGTTTTACTGTTCATAATTACGAACAAAAATGCCCGCTGTTCAAAGCATTTTCTACGCTTAAGAAGAACAGTTGCTTTGTCGGTTTCAAGTCAAAAGCTAATGGGGTAAAGGCTAACTAGTATTCTGTAGCCAAGTTCAAAGCATCGATTCATTTTGATAGACCCATATACAGAGTAGTCTATACAAAACAATAAATTGGGAGCGGATGTCATAATGGACAGAAACCCACCTGGCCTCAATTTGAGATTGTGGAGGTCCTCTATTCGACCATGTCTGTGTGGAATAGATCGGTGACCGAAGCTGAACAGCAGAACTGTTTACAGTGCATTCCGGCGGTTTGTTGCACCATGAGCCGCTGACCTCGTTGATACTGCAGCATCCTGAATCATGCATGGCTTGTTCGTCAGCCATGTGCACATAGTCCATCAGGCGATCAGTGGCTCCTTCCGGTGGAATAGTCCTTGTCCAAGTGCACTGAGCGGTTGCCGAAGAAGAAACAGGGACTGAAACAAATCATTGGGTGGTGTGAAACTAATAAAAGTCGTTTTATCGTTTCAAATCACACAAAATAACAATGCATTTTGGAACCAGAGAGCATGACGGACGAATTGATCAGGGCTTAGTCAGTTTTAGCAAACTGGTCAATTATAGAATTGCAAACTGATAGCCCAGATTTTTCAGATGGCGGTGGAATTGTTCGCTGAGCTTGGTAATGTTGCTGCAAAATTGCCAAACTCAGCGAATATTTCCACCGCCATACCGGTCAATGTTGTGAGCTCAGCCAAACTGGGCTCACAGAGGCAGATTCTCATTATAATTGCTGTGGATCACACTAGAATACTGCAAGTCAAAGCTGTTAAATACATGCTTTTAACACTTCCTGCAAACAGACTAAAACAACGGGGCGGAACTTGGTCTAATAACTGCTGCTGAAATCAAGTTTATTTGTTGGGATGAACAGAAGGTGAAAGAAACCTCGCCAGTAACAGAGTGAGTTGAACCGGGTCATCTACAGTAATGTTTATACGTAAGAAGCTCTACGGAGTTATAAAGGCATGCATCCTCACGAAGCGCACCAGTAGACAGCCGATTGATCACAGGCATTACAGTCCACTGCCATTTTGCTATCCAAAGAATGAAGATGAGTTTCTGAATTCCGAAACAGAATTCGTTTGTTTACTGAGACTATATCTCAAAAACTTCCGGCTTAAAAGTTTACCACGCATCAGGAAAGGTAACAGAAGGCTGTTTCATCCTATTAGGACTGGCCATCAATGCGCACTTCATAGGTCCTTTCAGAATCCAAAGCATAATCGCTAGACACGAGGGTATTGCGCCACCAGATGGCGGTTTTTGAAAAGTCGTGATCCTAAGGGCCAATCCTGTTTTTGTAAAGTTCGCGATTAGAAGGTGAGTAGCGTTGTATCACAGCTGACTATTTACCCTTGACACTCGGTCGCCGCCAGCTGTGTTCTATTAGCATAAGCAGCGAGTGTCGAAAAGTTCGGTTCTCGATAAACTCTGGGGGTGCGCACAACTGACTTGTAACAAAAGAAAAAAGCGGATACCTGGTGCTTTTCAGGATGTATCGTAAACTGTTTGACCCGGACGCTACTGGTACTCTCGACAGAAGTACATCAAAATTCTCCTATCCATTACAGATTTCTGCCTAGATGGCTAGCTAGCAAACCAACATCCAGTAGATTAACTTAGCAGCTGTCAAAAGGAAGGCTGGAAAGTTCCGTCAAATATACTATGACGACAAGTAGATGTTAACCGGACGTTGTTTGCGTCTCCATATTACCTGTGTCTAAACACCGCTTTTACGTTGACGTAACCCATCTGTCTTATGAAATACAGCCTGTGTATAGCGAGAGATGATAGCATGTGACAATCAGCGTTATCCACCGCCATCGCGGTAGGCTGTTTTACGCATGCCTCTGAATGAACACCTTGGTGAGTTCATCCAAACGCCTTTCACTTTATTAGCTGGATTCCATTTTTATCTATCATGTGGTTCTCATATTGCTCGTCCAGCTGGACTTGTCAACCGCTTGATTTTGTTATGACCCGGTGGCCTTAACCGCTAACTCGAAATTGGCGGGTTCCGAGTTCTAATTCCTCACTGGGCAGACAGAAAGTGTAATACTGACGCAACCCTGAAAGACGAAACAGCCATCTACCGTTTTTATGGTTATACAGTGGCTGATCCACTAAGTTTAGCTCTAATGAACTCTTCGTCAACATAATCCATATATCGTCCACACAGTTCACAAGGAAATTTAGTGAACCTATCTCTGTTACATGCGTCAATGATATTGATTAGTTAGTTCAGCCACACCGCGTTCTTATTGGTTTTCCTTGCATTGACCAATCAGCTGTAACTGGTGTGTCATGTGAGCCATGTCGCACTGCTTCGTCCGACACGCTTTGTTTCGTACAGTGTCTGGTTCTTGCCTAACTGCGGTCTGCGGCGTGCTTTGCTTGAATTCGTTACTACGTATTAGTCACTTAACGTGAAAGCCAGTCGGTTCAGGAGTACACGGTGGTTGTAAGGTCTACACAAATATGATTTGCGATCTGGCATACAAACGCTGACAAACAGTCCAACCATTCACTTAAAATGGAATACATACATGAGTTCAAAGGTTTGGAAACAATCGGTCGGTTTAACAGTGTGGTAACGTTTCGCCCTCGACCCAAGGGCTTCGTCAAACCAGGTGAATCAGTGTGCAATTGGCGTGGGATTTTATAGCGAACAGTGGCGATAACCGCGTTACCGGAGACTTGGGCCATAGTGTCGTTATAGTAACAATTCGTGATGTCACCTCAGATGGTTCAATCACAGTGGGAATAGTCCAGGTGTTCCTTCGTGGGTCATGACAATGGCGGATAAGCCCATAGTGTTGACATTCGGAGTCAGTTTGCACTTTCCAATCTAATCCATGCACCGATGCTCGTCAGGCTGGCCGGCTTAAGATCACTCGCCACTCATTAGGGACTTCTACCACCTTCATTCCATTCACGCAGTCGGCAGATTTGGCAATTTCTACCGCCTCGGCAATCAACGGCTGAAGTGTTGATCGTATACCTCTCTTAAGGACCTCTACGTTTTCCAAGTCTATCTGATGATCCGTGCCCAATGCATGCCCAACCACGGCCGAGTCTCTTACTATTGCCTGGTATTCAAATTCGTTTCTTGGTGGTCTTGAAATGCGCCTCCTGTGCTCCGAAATTCGTGTGCGTACTTCTCCCGCTGTTTGACCTATGTACCCATGTGCGCAGTCTTTACGTTTACTTTTAGAAACACAGTTAGTCGTCCCATTCTTCAGGGGGTTCTTCAGATGTACCATCGCAGAACGTAACGTTCAACCCCCTGAAACATCACCCTTATATTTTCCTTGTTTAATACCCTCCGAATCGTCTCCGAAGTGCCTTCCTTGTACAGAATTTATACATAATTTTAGAATACCTGATTTGGAGTAGATGAGCCACGATGTTGTGACCTACATGCAACACACTGCTAAGTTATTCCAAATGTATGAACATACAACCTAGTTGGAGAAGCACCCAGTGTCGTAGCAAAGCTAGATCATCAGCTGCCCGCGCGCGACTCTGAGTGCAAAGTGAGGAACATACCATGGAAGTCTTAGTGTGCAATGGCCGGTGGCCGAGTGGTCTGCAAGTTTGCTTTGCAACCATAAGGTCACCGGTTCGAATCCACGTAGGGGTGGGCGTCCTCGCGGTAAACTCAGCCCGCGCGCAACTGGTGATGGTCGCGCTGGCAGCGAAGCGCCGTTACGGCGTACAGCTGACATATTGTATTTTGTTTTTTTCAGTGTGGAATAGCATTCAGCAGATCAGCAGGGAGCTATGGTAGGAGGGTAAACGAAAGTAATCCACCCTCCTTATGGCGCTGCATGTAGAATTATCAAACAAGCACGAGTACAAACAGGCCTTGTTGACTGTGACTTTCAATCATAGGAAGAGACACTTATTGTCCAGTAAACAGGAGACATTGTTGCGCGCTTATGACAGGTAGGGCAGGTGTGACCCTGTACGCATCGAGGGTAGTTGAGAGGGGCTGACTGATACCAGAAATTCATCAACTTAATGTAGCTCAAGCAACTGTGATGGGTGCTAGGGCATACGACTTTATGGTGCAGGAATTCTGAAATCTGGATTACAGTATCTACTCCTCCTGTTCCAGTGCTTTCTTCTTTAGCATAGATCTGGATACAACGACAGTATCCTAGACTGTGTACCACCGATTACGGTTGGTTAAATGCTACGACTTAGTATGGAGTATTGGATGTGACCAGAAACCGGATAGTTTGAGCTACAGTGGATGGGACTTACCAAGCGACTTCGTTGTCAATTATACCCGAGATATCGAAGGTTAAAGGCCAGTAGTTCCGTCTCAGCATCTCCAAGAGAAATGGAGAGAGGTCGATGACCTTCTCCTTTCAAACCTAACGATGGGCGACAAGATGTTTACAGGTTTTATAAACACACAGCCCAAGTACCAGACATTGTCTCTGGTGATGGGAGAGCAGCGCCTAGTGCTCCCTCGTGTGCTGCTAACCGCCTCAAACGTGATACCCAGTAGTCGAAAGGATGGGACCCAGCCCAAACGTATCTGCAGTAGATCGTGATTACAAGTGCAGACTTTCCAGTGATAAGAAACTGAAAATCGAGGGTTTCGAATATACAACAATTGGTTATATCCTCACCCAAATAGATTCAACTGGACCACTGCAGCTGTAATCGCGTGTTAGGCCTACACCTACTACCTTGTGGGTTAGGCAAAGCACCCTTTAACAAATGCCCTCTTCAGGTCAAAACATCTGAAGGGAACCATCGGGTCACAGGGTATCGTAACCAGTGCTTTTTATCGCTGTCGTTTTCGCAAATGACGCGGTCTTTCGGAAAATGTTTTTATTAGCCTTGGTTACTCAGGTAGCCATATTCCAGGTGAGTTAGGTTTAAAGTCAACACTAAGCCAACATCCATTCTTTTGAAAAGGCTTGGTGATTCGTCTGAGAAACACGCATACAAACTAGTTGCGTCGTAACGGATAGTCCAACAGCTCATCTAGAAAACGTCTACATAGAAATACTCATTTGGATCAGACTCTAATGAACAGCCGCATATATACGGTTAGATTTCTTCCCTAGTCCCGTGGTTAATTAGTGCCATCGAAAATCAATGGATCTCGCTGCCTCAGTATCACCTGGATTATAGTAAGTAACTTATACCAGCTGGTCTCGTCACTGCCGTTGAAGCGCTTTCTAACCAGGAAGACCTATTTCGCATTCTTTTTGTTGTTAGCTGGGAAATATTAGTGTTAGGACTGGCCACCTTACTACGTAAACCTTCTGCTTGTTGTTGCCATACCGTATTCTGACTCAATCTCAGTTCCCAAGCGCAGTGAGACGCACTTGAGCAATATTGAGAGCTTCTCTGTGCACATAGTATCAGAAAGGCAGGAAGAGTGCGATAGTAAGCGGGCTTATTCCTCTGAACATACCGTCTATGTCTTGCACTGCTAATAGTTGACCAGCTGTAAGAAGAGCTGATCTGACCTCAGCGTCGGTGATTCCCATTTGAATGAGCTCGGTCCTTGTGATCTGACCGAGACGACGCACATCGATGATTCCGTGTTCCACCAGACGTGGCCAGACAGACTAGAAGTTGGGGTGGGGTCAGAGGGAAGAGAAAGGTAAGCAGTGAAACGCACTTGGATGCAGAGCGAGATAAATCCTGCCAAATTGTGGACCTGAATGAAACTCATAGGTCTGTAAATCATCGATCTGTCACTGAGGCTTTCAGAGTTACCAATGCATTTGACCAGTAAAGCTAGGAACGCTGAGGAATAATCCAAACGTTGAATATTCGTCACAGGTAACGCAGTAGGAATGTGAGTTTCGTGGGATTCTGTTCAAATCAACCCGGCCGCCGTGATATTGCGACTGTGTATTAAAGGCGTGGCAGGCAACTCCGAAAATCGCCAGTAAATACAAAACAAATCCTTTTTGCCAACTCTGATGGAAAAAGTGACAGAATAAATGGGATTTCTGTGACAATCAGGTAAAAGTTGACTATACTTTAGCCAAGGCAAGATAAGTTTAATTGAGACAGACAGAGATTTGATTTAGTGAATGTTAGGAGAGTGAGTATTCCGTGGTGACTCACAAACCCTCGGCCGTATTAACACTGAAAGCTTGTTTTTATCGCATATAAGTGAAGGAAGCAGTTTACAAAACTGATCAAACGGGCAGTCGCATTCTTAGTGACAAGGCTGCGGTCAAACAAACGAACTGCTCCGGATAACGGCTCATGTGGGGTATGCAGGGATTTGGTAATATCTTCTAGTCGAACGTGTGGACACAACTACAATAAATCCACTATGGAGATGACAACTGAAATCATAACATAAGTTTGATGTACATTTCTTGAGAAGCACTTGAGAAGCACTTACGTAACAATTGCGTCGAATTTTGGCCTTGGAATGTCGCTACGTGAAGACGACTGGTGCCGTGACCTAACCAGTGACTTTAGCAGCCCAAGCAATAGCGAAATGGAAAATGACTGGGCTCATTGCGTTCAATGGGGTACATCAACAGGGTAAAGGTCAGACAAAAGTGTTCAAGTGCAGTTGGGATCAGAACAACTGGATAATCCGGTGAATATTCCTTCTTCTGCGTATCGTTAAACCAGCACTTAATAGATCGGTTTGGGATTTTTCTAAACCTAAAACGAGAATCCCATCACACCCTGACCAAACAGTGACTGCCCAAATATCCTGCGTAGCAAACCCTGCCGGGTCGATTACTTGAAGTACGAGAAACTGAAGTACAAACTAGGACGGCAAAAGGAGGAATGTTAAGTAAATAATGACAAAGCCAAGGCATGGGGAAACTAAAAAAGGAACAACAACCTGACGACGAAAGCCGATTAAGCAAAGAATTAGATTTCCTGCCATACCCAAAAGCAACTAACTGACGCTCGAAACCCTCAACCGTAGATTCTCTAACGATGCACTCCGGAAGCGAGTTCCATCATCCAATAACTCGCTGCAACAAAAGGCATCCGTCGTAACCTGATCAGAAGGGAATTCGTGCAACCTCAGCGGGTGACCGCAGAGATTAAGTAACTTAGCGGGACTAAGTAGCCAGGACAAATCTGGTTCGATCTTACCCACTAAGATACGGTGAGGATCAGCGCCTCTCTAATTCTCCGATAGTGCATTAAGTCAATCCCCAAGCTAAGTAAACGTTCGGGATACGTCTGTCCCCGTAGACACTGCACTAACCATCTACTTACTCACAAAACCCTCCCCACATCCATGTTGCTCCTTACAAAATTTAGTGCACAATCCTAGGTAGAATATTGTAAGCGGAGTCGCACAAAAACGGAGAAAGGCCTCACGGACAAATCAACCGTTAAGAAACAGCAAGAGCGGCGAATAAACTCCATCATACGGAACCCTCTACAAACAGCATTCCTCCAACTGTCCCCAGGAAGAAGCACTGAGATGTGGACGACACCTAGATTAACCCGCTAAGTGACAACAGGGATCATCTCCACCAATAACAGCACGTGGGGGACCAGCAGGTCCAACGCGTAGGACAGAACATTTCGCCGGATTTATAGGCATCAATCATAAAGCTGACCAATCCCAGATCCTATCCAACGCACCCTGAATTACCTCAGCGTCCCCAGGATTATATACAAGATATTCCAGAGCTTGTGATTAGCAACAAACAATATCGAAGGTACTTCAAGCTCCTGGGATAGGTTATGGACAAACATTGCGAACAGTAACGACTCTAAAACCGAGCTCTTCGGAACGCCGCTAAGAAGAGCCTGCGTACGCGAAACGCTACTCCCCACGCGTAGACACTGTTCTCTCCCCTTTAGAAAAGCAGAACCCTTTTAAGAGTACCACCAGATATCCCATAACATCACAAATTTAACGAGTGTGGTAGATAGAAGTCAGTATCAAAGGCTTCGAGAAGTCGACGAAAAGTATGTTAACAGCGTGGCTGTGGTCTACTGCCGCAGTCCAGGTTGCACTACCTAAAGTAATTTTCCCAGACAAGAGCATCCCTTAGAGGATCCATGTTGTGCAGCATAGGGTAGATGAAACTTATTCAGACGGTTTTCTATCCAATCTCTCACAAGTATTTCAAACTATTTGACTACTACCCTTGTCCAATTGAAGGACCAGTACTTCATGGACAGAGTACTGTTACCCCTTTATAAATCTAACAGATGATTTTCTCTTTCCATCCTGAAAGTAAGGCACAGCTGTCGAGCAATTTTGTAAACACGTATGTGAGAACACTGGTTAGTTCAGCGGGCAATATACGCAACAACAGCTTCGGATGAATTGAAGTAGGAACAGCAGCTTTAAAAGGATTTGGCTGTTGTAAGTGTATGTATTGTATTGGTCACAACCTGTGTACAGATATTGTACCGTCGAAACCATGGCGGAACAGGAAATCAGGGTTAGATTAAATGAAGAAAGAAACGCAACTTGGTCCATTTTTCCACTCGCAGTTTTTGGTTTTTTTGATGTTTTTTATTGGGGGAAGGGAGGGGATGATCCATGAATGGTTCGTCAGTGGGCGAGATACTACTCGGTTGCCCAGGCCGAAGTAAAGGGTTGTCTTAGGAGTCCCACCCGAGCCTTTGATGCAGGATCTAACCCACAAGTCAGCACAGCGATATGAAGGTATCATAACCCGTTGGGCGCCGGTGCCCAAACAAGTGGTACATAAGCCTTTAGGACCGCATAGGACCAGGGGCCAAACACACCCTTGAATTGCAATGCCTCTCAGAAAGAGGCAAGGAGCAGTGAATATGTTTAGTGGCGAGTCTCATCCGCCACGTCCCAGTGTTGTTAAACGGACATATGTGGCTTTTTATAGGGAGAACGCTTGCCAGGCGAAAACCCACCAAGTCTTGGAACACTGCCGCTGAATCATTCGCTGGAAGGGGATAATCCAAAACCGTCCAGCTGGTACCACGAACAGGTTGTTCGGCCAAGGACTTGAGTCTTCTTTGTGATAGTTTCATTTGTGTAGGAAACCGGGACACTTGAGAGTAGTTCAGCCTATGGTTTAGAGACCTCACATGTAAATATAACATTATACTGTTCGCTAACCATACAATACTTATCATAGTCAGTATGCAGACGGTCCGGTCCGCTCGTGGTAACGTTGGTATGGACGACCTTTCAGCACTGCGTCTCTTTGCCTAAGCAAAGTACTTCCTGGAATAAGTTGTGGCTGTGATAGCCAAACCCTTTTCTTATTGGAGTCAAACAGTCCTGAGAGTCTTTCTAAATCTATTCCTGAACTCTCGATAGCTTTCGTAGGGACTTGTTGGTGGGACTGCTTGGTAATTGCACAAGCACTTAGACCGTTTCCTGCGTAGGTATTTGCCTGCAAAGTCTGCCCATGGAGGCTGTGCCCGTGGCTCACTTTTCTTCATGGATAGGAGGTTGGGAGCAGAGACCTTGAAAAGATATGTTGCAAACTTCTTCCAGGTTGACACAACAGTGTCGGCCACGGAGATCTCACTATGGGAACTAAAACTTTGGCTCGCATCACATTAAAGTCCGCCAACAAAACATTTGGACATACCTCAGCTGTAGCCTAATGGTACTTAGACAGAGTGCATTTAAAAGTTATACAGACACGGTTGCTGGCCACTAGAGGAGAGCCGCATGTAAGGTGACCCAAGATAGACGGAAGCTGGGGGCTCATGTACCTATCCTGGTGGTCCACGAACTAATGCAGATGCTTTCACAAAGTTAGCACGAGGATATCAGAATCAGTGGGGCTTATGGTTGATTTGCAAGATGGATCAGCGCAACAGACCACAGGGAGTTTGAAGTCCCTCAGTACCAAACACTTATTGGCGGCCTGAGTACGCAAAACTCAATTACTTCCTTGGAGGTTGCTTCAGGACTTTGATATATCACCACTACTGTAAACTTGGTAGAAAAGCGTACATAACAGTTGATAGGGCTTCAACCTTTTACTACAGCGACTGAAAAACGTAGGTCATCAACACATCCAGGTTGCAGCTCTTATAAAGAGTGACGCCCTCCGCTTTAAGAGCCATTGGAACGATCACATCTAAACAGTGCATAACCAGTTGTACGAACTTCACGGTCCGTAAGAACCTGCGACACAATGTTTCATCAAAATCAAGAATCTAGGGACGTGTTTTGTTTGCAACTACACCCATCTCTTGTAACTTGTTCAGCAGGCTAAGCACACTGCTGTCTACTATTTGAAGGTAATTGGTACAACCAGTTCCGGGCCGTGCACCACAAGGATGGGTTCTGTTAGGACGGAAATAGACCGGCTGACGATCTGAAAGCCCTCATGACGGAGTTCTCGCACGCCAGCCGCCGGCATATTTATGAGGCCTTCGAAAGCTTCCTTCAACTTCACCCTGCCTAATCATGGAAGTTCTGGATAAACGCGGACGTTGCTCCCCTTGAGTTTGAATGCAAAGCACAGTAATGTTTTGGGTTCCTCCGGGGTAGTAAGGATCACACGAAGTTGTCTGCTTCTCGGATTTGGCGTACCGACAGGGATGTTCTCCAATCTGGTCAGCTTTCTGACAATGACACCAAGGAAGCCAAGTGTAAGCACCTTAGGGATGC